GTTGTTCCTCCCTATCCCCGGCTCTTCTTCGACGCTCTGCAGCCTTCCGTTCACGGTCTATCGCCTTTTGTTCATCTCGCTTAACAGTTCTAGCGAAGATAGTTGATAACACTTCAACAATTTTGGATTGGTTGGTAGCCATTTCATCAAATCTACTATTGTGCGTTGTTTGATTCTTCAACTTCTCTTTCGCTGCCTTAGTACCAATTGGTCGTGTTGATGTATTAGATGGTTGTTTGTGCACTACATTACTCTAGTTGGGTTGAAAAGCCTCATATTTAGTTGGTGGATTCGAACATAGATAAGCATGTTGCATGCTTTTTTTGGGTTGTGTTCGAAATTCATCCCACTTACAACTTCGGCACAAAATGTCCCAACATGTATCAAATGTGAAGTGTTTTTTCTGTATTGCATGATACATCCGCTTCGCTTCAGCGACCTGCAAAAACAAATTACAAAAATTTCAATAACAAGTATACATTACAAAAGAAAATTAATATTTAATAACAGAAATAAATTTTACCACGTCTGCCTCAATTGTTCCACTTTGTTGCCTCAGTTGAATTTGTTCAAAAAAATCACAGAATTTATTAATTGCCTTTTGCATGCTAGACCAACAGTGAGACAAAGAAATATGATTTTGATTTGATTCACCACTCAATTGTGAATTAAAATAAACAAGTGTTCGTTTCCAAAATATAGTCATAATCTGACTATTACTAGTAATGGGATCTTGAGAGACTGCCAACCAAGATCTACATAATGTTTCATCTTCTATAATTGTGAACGCTTTACCACAAGAAACACGAGAAGTTTCTGAAATAAAATGATTATCAATGTTCTACGTGTTCTGCTCTCGTGAAGTTTCCGACATAAAATTAATATCAGTGTTGTGCTCTAACATTTATGATTCCTCAAACATTTCAAAATCTTCCATAGTTTGAAACAAATTCAGTAGGATACAATATCTAACTTAGACAGTGAAAAATATTGGGATGATTAACAGTCAACCTCAGAATCAGATAATATAAACTAAAGCTCACTAGGAAAAAAATTTATAATGATACAGAACTAAAAAAATTCACAGCATATAATGTAATGCTATTATGCAACTGAAATACTCTGTCAACCCAACTGAAATTCACAGCATGATATTATGAAACAGATATATTTTATAGAGCACATGTAACAACCCCGAAAATTTAAGTTGTTCCTTAATTTTATTTTAGTATTATTTAATTATAAATAAGAAAAATCCTAAATGTTTAATTAAATATTTCGTAAGAGTAAAATAAAATATTAAATGTTATGGGTATATGAGATAAAGTGTAAATTAGGGATTATATATTATCGGGAAAAAAAGGGACATATAATTAATTTAAGATTTGGGCCAAAGTAGAATTAAACCTAAAGTTAAATATGTTAGATAAGTATGAATTAATGGTTTGGGACACGTAGCCTTGTGGCTTGGTGCAAAGAATGACACGTGGCAACTTGGTGGCTTGGTGGCCACGGCTATCTCTCTATAAAAGGGAGAATTTGTTAGGGTAAAGGGAAAAAAAAGGAAAACATAAGTAAGGAAAGAGGAAGAAATACTAGACGCAAAGAAGAAAGAGCGAGGTATTAATTTTAAGGTGAACTGTATTATACCTTGAGTCACCATAATATATTTTACGTATGTTTTGATTTACCATAATTTATTTTATACAAGTTATATTTTATAAATTATATTAATATTTCAATTACATGGGTTATTTTCTAAACTCTATTTGTTTAAAATGAAACCCATGGATATGTTTGTTTAAATTTTAGTATATATTTGACTATGACCTTATAAACAATTATGTTTTGTAAGTACCACTATGGGAGTCCCATGCCTTGGGAGATTTAAATAAACCATTGGCTGCTGATTGGTCACTTTGTGACCCTCTGTTGTCATGGATCTATTGACCTCTATTCTGTACGGAGCAAAGTGTTGTGTGGAGATAAATGTTACACTATTGTGGGAGCCACCTCTATAATCCGTATGTGCCACCTCTTGAATCCGTATCTCTGTTCTGACTGTCACTCCTGTGACCTCTGTTCTGTTCGGTTCGGTACTGTTGTTATGGTTATTTATTTACATAATCTCAGTTTTGTTACTTAAATGATTATTCGTTCAGACCAAGTGATCTTAAATATTTTAGTTACATAACTATCCATGGTTATTTTATGTCCCTTCTACTATTGACATAATATTTCTCACTCTACATGTGCTTATAGTTGTTTATCAATTTTCAAGAAACAATGCAATTTAGAAATAGCTTTTGGAAAGTCTTAGATGCGGGACTGCGGAATAGACACACACAACACTTTTATGATATGTTTATATGTAAATATCGGTCTTTTTGGTCAATAAATGTTGTAATAAAAATAGAAACTCCGATGATTATTTTGGTAGCCTCACTTAAATATTATTTCCACTCCCTTTTATTTATTTGTTTAAGAATTGGCTGGAGGTAACTTTAGTTACTGGCCATCACGATACTTAACCCTTGGGTATGGGGAACGGGTCGTGACAACACAGCAACAACAGTAAATTTTCAAAATACTCTGTCAACCCAACGGTAAATTATTGGAATTGGTGATGCAGAACGACTAGTTTTGAACTCAAAATATGTATATAGGATGTAACTTTTTCATTTACATTTTCATGGGAATTTAAATTTATATCACCCTTTAATTTATTCTTAGTCCACAAAATAGCCTACCTACTTGAACTTATTCCAGAAAATAAACTAGTTCACACCTGTTCCATAAAATAAACGAGTTTGCAGAATTGAGGGAACCGGTCGACCGGTGGGTCAACCGGCCGGACATCCGGCTGGTTGACCGGTTGGCCCATCCCAACATTACAGTACAGTGAAATACTGAAATCTCGCGCTTGTCCTCAGTTTGATGAAAGTTTTGTTCCGTTCTCATTTTGATATCAATTTGGTGAAACTATTGGAGAGAGAAAAAGTGACTTTTTCATCAAATTTCAAATCTGATGCACAATTTGATGCACCGCTAGAGATGGCCTTAGTAATTAATAATTTATCAAGCACCCAAGCCTTTAACTTCATTGTCCAATTTGTTTGCTGTACAAATATATTTTTGAAGTAAATAAAAAACAAAAAAAAAACATAAAGAAAAATGTTCAGTGAATATCATAGTTGATGGCTAGCAATTGAGGTTGGATGAAATGTGATGGTTGACTCTGGGTCTGGCCGATGTACCATAGAGTGGCTAGAGAAAAGTCAAAAGTTAGGTGGAGGTAGCAAGAATCCGAATCCTCCGTCGCACTCTCCTGCGACTCTTTCCTGCCGCCCTCCAAAACGACGTCGTTTTGGAGGGTTTTTTTTTTTTTTCTTTTCTCCTTCTTCTTTCTTTCCGTTCAAACACTTATCTACTTCGGAAGCTAAAGACCTCCGATCAGCAGAACAGACTTCGCCATTTGGATTCATCTTCATGCACCTGAGATGCCTCTGACTCCCCCACTTTAAACAAGGCATCATGAAATTGTGCAAAGGCTTCGATCTCTCCGATCCCATCGCCATTAACTTATTGCTTCACTCTCTCCGCTTTTACCCAAAATCACCATTGATCAAGCAACCATTCCTTGGAACGAAGCTCTCTCTTGTCTCCGCTCCAACTGATCATACGAACTTTCTCGGAGATTTTCTCGGGAAAATTTTTGAGCGAGAAAGTCGAGAGGGTTTCTCCGTTCTTGACATCTAATCTGGAAAGAAAATGCCCAGAAAATTAAAAATGCAAAATCTAATCTAATCTAAACTAATCTACAAAACAAATTTCGTTCTTGACATTAAAAAAAATGCAAAATTTTCTGGGGTTCTCTAGTTTGGAAAGAAAAATGCCTAGAAAATTTGTTTTCTGTGGAACGATTTTGCATTTTTAAATTTTGGTTCGACATTATTATAGATTAGATTAGATTTTGCATTTTTAATTTTCTGGGCATTTTCTGGGGTTCTCTAGTCTGGAAAGAGAGATAATGGAATGGGAAGAAGAGTTTGACAGTAGAGAATGGAGAGAGAGATAGAAAGCCTAAAAAGGAAGGGAAGAGACGAGAGATAAGGTTTGGAGTGACGTTAGGTGAGCCTCCTTCTTCATTGCTAGCTGTCTGCCCCTTCCTCTCCCTCCCCCCACGGCCGGCGATGAGGAGCCACCGCTCCGCCTCTGCTCTACTGCTGCTGCTGATGCCGCCGCCGGCAAGGAGCTTCTCGGCGATGAGGAGCCACCGCTCTGCTGCTGCTGATGCCGCCGTGAGGGTCCATTTCTGTCACTCTCTGCTTTCTCTCTCTAAATTTGGTAAGAAGAAGAAGAAAAGAAAAGAAAAGAAAAGAAAAGAAAACCCTCCAAAACGACATCGTTTTGGAGGGTGACAGGAAAGAGCCGCAGGAGAGTGCAACGGAGGATCCGGATTCGAGGTAGCAAACAGGTTTGATTGGATGAATTAGAATATAAGATTGAGATTATTAATCTGTGAGCTCAATTATTCTATGTTTATTTTAACATTTTAATTTAAGACTATGAGTAATGGGATAGGGGTGCGATTATTAATTCAATAGATAATTTATCATATTAATCCAATTGAATAATGAATACCACAGTAATTTGATAAGATTATTAATACTTCAGTATTAATTTTATGAATCAAACATGGCGTTAGAGTACTCTAGCAATTGATTGGAAATGTAGCTAAACGCGGTTGATTAACAATGTCACAAATCGATGATGGTAGTGATGAGTTGTGGCAGAAGAGGTAGGAGAGACATAGGTCTTTTGGGGGGGGGAAAAAAAAAAAGAAGATTAATTTTTAGCTTTTTTCTCATTTTGAGTCTTTTCACTTTTTATATTTTTTACTTATAAACAGATAAAATAAACTAAAAAAATTTTAAAAAATAATTTTTTACTTACTTCCCAAAACACCACATAATAAGCTTTAAAACTTGTTTATAAACAAGAGTAAATATTTTTTATTTGCATTTAAAATTTTTAAATCAATTCAATTTTTTAAGAACAAAATCAAATGACTATAACTAGCTTCCCAAACAAGCCTTACAATCCGTCTGCCTCCATACGGGGTTTTAACTTTAAGCCCAATTTAGGGAACCACCAAAACCCTAAACCCAAAATATTTATCTCCCATTTCCACCAAGACTGACCTTTTCTCTGTACTCTGTTCTGTACATCCATTGAAGAACCTCCATATGCATGATTAAAGAAGCCCTACAATTCTTCGCTCGCCTGCGAAGAACCTCTACAACAAATTTCCCCAACCCCTACGCTTTCAATCAGTCTCTTCACGACCTTATTCGCTCCAACTGTGGAGACCTCTCTCTCAAGCTCCTCCTCCACTTCATCTCCAAAGGTTTCACTCCTCACCTCTCTTCTTGCAATTCCATTATATCCCTTTTTTGCAATCTGGGCAATCTCAATTCTGCTCATAGCTTCTTAAATTCGATGCCTTTTTTCGGTTGCTCCCCCGATATTGTTAGTTACAATTCTTTGATTGATGGGTATTGTCGTTCGCGCGATATTAAGGGTGCGTGTTCGATAATGAGGTGGGTTTGTGGTGGTGGGAAAATTAAGCCTGATTTTGTTACATTTAATGTTCTGTTTAATGGGTTTTGTAAGCTTGGAATGCAAAAAGAAGCATTTGTGTATATGGGTTTGATGTGGAAATGTTGTTTGCCTAGTGTTGTTACGTATGGTATTTTTATTGATATGTTCTGTAAAATGGGTAATTTGCATATGGGTTTTAAAGTGTTTAGGGACATGAGTGGGAATGGAGTTTTGCCAAATTTGGTTGTTTTTACTTCTTTGATTGATGGGTATTGTAAGGTTGGTGATATGGAAGTTGCATTTGAGTTGTATGAGGAAATGGGTAAATCATCGCTTTCGCCAAATGTGGTTACTTATACAGCTTTAATTGATGGTCTTTGTAAGAAAGGGATGTTGGGTAACGCTGATAGTTTGTTTGCAAAGATGTTGAAAGTTGGGGTTGAACTCAATTCTGCAGTTTACACTTCGATTATAGATGGGCAGTTTAAGAAAGGAAATGTAGATGATGCTTTGAAGTATTTGAGTGGAATGCAAGATCAAGGGATCAGTCTTGATGTAGCGGTATATGGGGCTGTTATATCTGGCCTCTGTAATAGAGGTAGGTTAGATAGAGCAATAGAAATTAAGGAAGATATGATGAAGAGTGGATTGGCACCTGATAGAATGATCTTCACCACACTTATTGATGCTTATTTCAAGGCTGGGAATTTGAAAGCAGCACTGAATGAGTACACAGAATTGTTGGCCAAAGGTTTTGAACCTGATGTTGTCACTCTTTCAACACTGATTGATGGCCTTTGCAAGCATGGGCATCTAAATGAGGCAAAAAATTATTTTAGCAAAGAAAAGGCCAACGAAATTTCATATACGGTGCTTATTGATGGGATGTGCAAAGAAGGAAATTAAGTGAGTTTAGAACATTTGTTAGGGAAATGTAGAGGCAGGGTTGTCCCAGACCGAGGTATGTCTACACTTCTTGGATTGCTGAGCTCTGCAAGCAAGGAAACTTGGTGGAAGCATTCAGGCTGAAGAACAAGATGACTCAATCGGGTATTACTCCTGATTTGTTGACATATAGCTCGCTGATTTTTGGTTTAGCTGATAAAGGGTTCATGATTGAAGCAAAACATGTATTTGATGATATGTTGAAAAGGGGAATCACTCCTGACTATGCTGTTTATGATATCTTGATTAGAGGCTATGCCAAGCAAGATAATGAAGTTGCCATTTTATGTTTGCATGATGAGATGAGAAAGAGAGGACTTCACACAAAAGTAAATATGGTGGAGGGAAGAAGGCAATTTATGGCGGACAGTGTATAGTGACTTACACCCAATTAAGTCAGTTCCATGAGTAAGCAAGACCTTTTCTTGGTTTTCTTTTTCAGTGGTCCTATTTGAATTTAGCAGGAACGCTTACGCCCTATTTCTGATTAGTGGTCCATTTTGTTCATAGTACTGTTCCCCTCCAGGGAATTTTTGTTACGTTTGCTTGGTGCTGCAACTTTATGTGTATTTAATGCTTCCGCTGTCTCAAGGTTTATATGGTGCCTATCTGCTAGTGAATTCATATGGATTGTCATTCTTAGCACAAGTAACAGATTGGGGCTGTTTCTGAACTGTACATACAACTCAGGTGCAAAATAAATTCGGATTCTTGTTTATCACATTATAGCATGGGCACTACAAATCAGTTTTCTGATCTGTTTTTTATTTTTTATTTTTTTTGACAGTGAATGCAAGGATGCAGAAATGTGTAGCACCTCTTGCTCAAACTTGCATGTCACTGCACTGCACATCAGCATATACAATTGTAAAACGATTGGTAATTACTAGTGTTTATTTTTCAAATATCAGCATTAGAAATTTGTCACAATATTAATCAATCTTACATATTAGACATACAGTAAAGCTGCTTGTTGATTATTTCTTTTGTATTTGCAGCGATTTCATGAGCTGAGCAATGTGTAAAGGTGCTTGCTGGATGCATATTAGCAGATGTGTTTGGCAAGAATGTAGATTTTGACATCACCTCCACAAGCCCTTCTAGTGGAGCTGTCAAACCTTCTGTTTGTAAAACCTCATGTATTAATTAATCATCAGCAAATTTATGTTGGAGACTTGGGCCAATTTTCTAGTTAGCTATACTGCAGAGTGCATGCCACCCCCCGTCTTGCACTTTACCCCTTTTATAGGTGATATACCTTTTGTAGATGGCATTTGTAATATGATACTTCGAATTGAGGATCAAAAGAACCAAAAGGAGTTCAATGATTCAATCTCATAAAAACTCGTAACACCTTCTAGGTTTTGTTATATTCAGGCCTCGTTTTGAAACATTTTTTTTTAGTAATTTTTTGACTTTTTGGCTAAAATATGATGTAAAAAAAATTAGTATGTTTGGGATGACTATTTGAATTTTTACAAAAAGATATGCAAAAAGTAGAGAGAAAATTGAATCTTTGATTTTTTGGTATAAGTTGTTGGCTTTTGGTTTTTTTAGTAACTTTTTAACTTTTTGGCTAAAAAAGTCACTTGCCAAACGAGGCTCAGTCATCAAAGGGCCATGTCATGCATTTATATAGTATCATATTATAACTTACAATAATGAACTTTTTTTTATATTCCTTTGTGGGGCTTAGGAGTGGGGGGTGCCCTTGGCTCCAACATCGTGTGAAAGTACAAATTGATGTACACTTTGTGTGTTCTTCTCCTCAAGACTTGCTGCAGAGCTTAGTATTTTTATATGTTGCGCAACAAAAAAAGCACAAGGCTGCGTCTAAAACACTTTGTTTTTTTTTTGTTTGAAGTGTTAATGCAATTAATGCATCTGTTTTGTGAGTTGTACCCCTTTGATTGAAGCGATATTATTTATTTATTTATTTATTTATTTTTGGATATTCTTCAGCTTTTAGATAGTAGGTGTGTTCTTTGCAATAGTCCTAAACCTTTTTATTTTTTTTGTGGTAATACACTCAAATCATAATTCTAAAACACACAAATTCAAAATACAACTCATATTCTCAAATCATAGTTACAAAGCTCTACCAAACGGAGCCTGAATCTTTGACTTTTTGGTATAAGTTGTTGGCTGTTGATTTTTTTAGTAACTTTTTAACTTCTTGGTTAAAAAAGTCACTTGCCAAACGAGGCTCAGTCATCAAAGGGCCATGTCATGCATTTATATAGTATCATATTATAACTTACAATAATGAACTTTTTTTTATATTCCTTTGTGGGGCTTAGGAGTGGGGGGTGCCCTTGGCTCCAACATTGTGTGAAAGTACAAATTGATGTACACTTTGTGTGTTCTTCTCCTCAAGACTTGCTGCAGAGCTTAGTATTTTTATATGTTGCGCAACAAAAAAAGCACAAGGCTGCGTCTAAAACACTTTGTTTTTTTTTTGTTTGAAGTGTTAATGCAATTAATGCATCTGTTTTGTGAGTTGTACCCCTTTGATTGAAGCGATTTTATTTATTTATTTATTTATTTTTGGATATTCTTCAGCTTTTAGATAGTATGTGTGTTCTTTGCAATAGTCCTAAACCTTTTTGTTTTTTTTTTGTGGTAATTTCCAGATTCATCATTTGTCTCTTAGTCCTCATAAGGGTGCCAAAGGAATTATGGATCTTGTAAATTTCTCTCCCAAGAGATAAAAACCTCAACCTCAGATGGCTTCACATAAAGCAGAATTCAATGTGAACTAGGGATTGGATGTTGTGATCCTGCAAACAGTGAAACTGCCGTCATTCCTTCCACACATGTAAAGGCAGATGCCTCAGACGCACTTGGGAAGGTTTACAACCTCGAAACTTTAGTCACAAAAAGATGTGCTTTCCATTACTGACAATTGGCTTTGGCTTCTACTATCATTATTTGCAAAAAAATTTAAATGCATTCAACGAATAGACCATCCATGATTTTGGGCAACACCTTCAAGTGGAGTCCTTTCATGTTGTCTCTTAGTTTGGAGGAGGTCTACCCCTTAAGAGATCCACCAACTCTTTTTGCAATAATTCTGCAACAGTGTATTTTTGCTGCACTTGGTCAGATGTAGATGAGAAGCATGATTGGAATGTCATTTTTCAAATATAAATTTCCCTTGAATTAACCTGGTCCTTACTACCATTCTGTCACTGCTAATACTGTCACTGTTGTCACTCTACTATCACCACAAATTGTTAGTAGATTTTAAGATCACAATAAAAAACAAGAAATGTTTTTTTTTTTGTAAAAATTACATTTTCAAAAAAACAATTTTCATATAAAACTGTTTTCCTCCTAAAAATATTTTCCAAACAAAGCATAAGGCACAAATCATCCTCTATAGCTACATCGACTCCAACAAAATTATTTTAAAAATTAGCGTTGAATAATTATTTAATAGACTTAGAGTATTATGTGAAATTTTCAAGTAGTGCTTTCAATCAATAATGTAAGAAATTTTTGTAAAACAATACTGATAGAATGATATTTTGCCAAATTTGATCATGAATGAAACTCCAATGAGGTAGCCATTTGGTAGGCATTTTAAGAGTAAAACTGTAAATAATATAAGCATTACCATCAACATTTTAAGATTAAGGTTAAGTTTGGCAAATCTATAAAAAGTTAAAAAGTTAATACTATTCACCAAAAGTCAATAATTACGGTTGCATAACTTTCAATTTTAATTTTTTCCTACACATTAATTTATACAATTTTTTAATACACATTTTTTTTTATAAAAAGTCAAAAAGTTAACTCAAACATCTATATTTTACTCCCAATCCTAATTTTACCCTACACACTAATTTATACAATTTTTTAATATACATTTTTTTATAAAAAGTCAAAAAGTTAAACCAAACATCTATATTTTTGTCCTCAATTTTTTAGTTTAAAAAGATAAAAATTACACTTATTTAAAACACTCCAAACAACCCCTAAGTATCATGATTATTTTTTTCAAATAAACATGATTATTGGAGAGGTTACGTGATTGGATTGATAGTCTAATTTCATGAGCCATGGAGGAAAATAAACATGGCATAAGAGCATTGTTGGAATATATACTAACTAAAATATTAAATGTATATTTACGCTTATTATTTTTTAGCTTAAAAGTTAAAAAGTCACTAAACAAATTAAAAAGTCAAAAATTATCATTTCTCTCTACTTTTTAAACATTTATTCGTAAAAAATTAAAATATCATTCCAAACATATTAATTTTTTGGGTACTGTTATGGTGTGCAACCCCTAAGGTTGCACACCATATGCAACAAACACAAAAGGTGTAAATGGAAAGTATAAACATGAAACAGGACAGCAAATAGAAAGGCGTAAGTGTAAGGTGTGAGTTGCACACTTAAGAAAAGTCCTAATTTTTTTACTTTATATTTCAGTTAAAAAGTTAAAAAATTACTAAAATAATTTGTTCTAAAACGGGGCCTTAGCGCCTGTTTGGGATAAAGCTTATTTGTCATCAATTGAAACTAATAGGCCTATTTTGGAAACTTACAGTTTTAGTTAAAAATAAAATAAAAAAAAATTATATAAAAGTAAATTTCTCTCTCTACATTTTTTCAGGTCTTTTTGTAAAATGTCAAAAAAAAAAAATCATTAAAAACAAATTAATTTCCAAAAAATTCTTAACAAAACCAAATCAACAGCCATAAGAGGTAAACTTTGCTTGTTTTTAGTTTTTCAAAAACACTTTTTAAAAAATTTTACTTTCTTATTTTCTATATTTTTTTCTGAATTTTTTTTTAATATTTTTAAAAAAAAATTATATTTTTAAACACACCTAACATAAATACACATAATAAGTATAATTTTTGTGAAAAAATCTTTTAAAAATTCACTAAATATCAAAAATACAAAAAAATACTAGAATTCAATATATTTTTCATATTTTTATGTATTTATTAATTTTTTAAAATATTTTTTTACAATTTTTTTATTTTAGATTGACCAATAAGTTCTAAATTTTGGACTTGTAATCTATATAATCTCATATTTTTTTTCTTATAATCCATTTAGGCCATGTTTGTTTGGGCGGACTGGATTAGCATTCCCATGACTAATAGTCCTAGGATTACGAATCCGTTGGATTATGTATCCTATCTTAACTAATAGTCAAGTTTAAAATAATTAGTCCGTACTTAAATTGTTTAACCAAATACCGGATTAATAATTTTATTAGAAGATTAATAGTAATCCTAAATCCATTAGAGCTAGGCTCCTGTTGGGATAAGGATTGAGTTAGCTATAAAAGAGAGGCACCACCGTGGGTCTAAGGAACGCAATTTATGTTCTGAACAGTGAATTTAGCACTATTGATTATTTTTGAGAGATTAAGGGTATGTTTGGTTTGTGTTTGAGAGATGTGTTTTAGAGATAAAAAGTACGAAAACATGTTTGGTTTGGTTTTTTTTAAAAGATGTTTTGGAAAATTATTTTGAGATAGAGTTTTGGAAAAAGTGATTGATTTGATGTGTGTGAGAGAGAGATTTGTTTGGAAAACTTGTTTGGTTTACAAGTTTTGAGAAATTTTTTTGGGAAAATTTGTTTGGTTTGATTATTTTTGAAAACTTATTTGTAGAGAAAATTTCCCAAAAATTTTTCAGAAAATCAAACCAAACGAGCCCTAAATAAGTGTATTTTTTGACTTTTTTTATATTATGTATAGAAAAAATAGAGAGAAAATGTTGATTGATGTGACTAAAAAAAATAAAAAAAAAATGAAATAAATACACTTTTATTGGTTAGCCAACTTGGCTCAGTAGCAGTGGATCTGGAGTATTGATGAGAAAGAAACTGTGAGAAATGCGAGAAGGTAACAGGAAAAACGAAGCCAACTATCCTTTTTATATATTTTCTCGCTATAGACAGAACGTCATCCCTCTCTCTACATCATCTAGACTTCCCGAAGAATTCAGGAATGAACTCACTGAGTCGCTAACCACCGTTTCTAACCCACTCACCACTCTCTCTCTTTACAATTTCCCAAATGGCGGAGTCATCTGCGGCGGCGGCGGCGGCGGCGACGACTGAGCTGCCCACCACCACTCCCCTCCTCCGGCATCGTCAGGACTCTGCGGCGGCGGCGACGCAACAGACGACGCTGGCGGCGCTGCTAGGGCGTGCGACGGGCCGGAGGGGAGCCTCGATGCTGGTTCGAGAGACGGCGGCACGGCAGCTGGATGAGCGGCGCGCCGACTGGGGGTACTCGAAGCCGGTGGTGGCGCTGGACATGGTGTGGAACCTGGCGTTCGTTGTGGTGTCGGTGGTGATGTTGATTTGCACAGTGGAGGAGAGGCCTAACGTGCCGATTAGGGTTTGGATCTGCTGTTACTCGCTGCAGTGCTTGGTGCATGTGGTTCTGGTGTGGTTGGAGTATCGGAGGAGGAACAGGACGATCAGATTCCGAGATGTGGATGCATCGACGAGGACTGATACGAATTCAGTTGATGCGAATGATAGTGAGGATGAGGAAACTGGAGGCGCTTTGGGAATTTCTAGTCGATCGAGGTGAGAGCTAAAACCCTAGCTTTTTCTTCTTTTTTTTGTCTCTTCATTTTCTAGTTCTGAAGTGTATCTAGGTTTGAATTAATTCCCTTATTTTTTACTTTTATTTTCAGTAAAAATCTTCTATGTTAAATTTTTGTGTTCTTTAGCTTAGAATTACCAATTGAAATATGAAAATTTTAAAGTACTTGAGAGGCTTGAAGTTTGGATTTTATGTACCAATTGACACTGGCGCTTTGTTTTGTTCTTAAAAATGGAGGAGGATATGGAAAAAATAAATGAAAAATTAATTTCCTTCATGTTTTTTTCTCTACTAAATTGAAATTGAATAAAAGTTTTTGTTTTTTTAGGAAGTGAGTTGAAATCAAGGAATTTTAAAAGAAAATTGAAGTACAACATTAAGAATGTGTCCTGTGTCTCCTTGTAGTCATGGTGAGGTGGTGCAAGTTGTGATAGTGGTATTTATTGTGATAGTGGTATTTATGGTGGTTAGAATTGTGAGAGTCGTAATTCGATTCATACAAGTTTCAAACAAAACGATTTGAATCATATTGTTGAATCGAAAATTGGGTGAATCATACAGTTCAATTTGTGATTAACTACAATCCACTAGGATGCTCTTTTTTTCTTTTTTTGTATACATAATGCATGAAATGATGTGGTTTTCACTTCTCTGTCAAGAAATAAAAAGGGATCAATTAGTTATATTGAAATGTGTGGTTTTATATGTATATACATATACACAATTTAGTTGATATTGATCTTTATTTCATTTTAAACATTGTGTATTTTTATATATAAACCGTATGATTCACAATTGGATTCGTTCTTTGATATTAATGACTTTCATTAGGTTTGCTTGGGTATCTGTGGGTTGTGTGTGGGCAGTGGTTAGTTGGTGGTTTCCAAGTTATGCACCCGGGATAAACAGAGCGGTGTTTATTTGGTGCTTAAAAATTGGATTTTGAGACATTAATATCATAGGTTTAACTATTTTTATGATAGCATAGAATGTGTGGGCTTTATCAAATTTGTTTAATAAGAACTAAAAGGTGTCTTTTGGTGTAGAGGGTATTGTTTGAATGTATAACTTTTTTTTTTTAATTTTTATTTTATTTTTATGATTAGTAATTTGAGAACTTGGATTGGGTCTCAAACATCCCCTTGATTTGTAATGCAATGAGAAAGATGTGGAGACACCTCCTTTCTGAAGTAAGATTTACATGTAAGCGTGCTTTTGTGGGTGAGATGCGTTTGGTCCCATGGTTGGAACGACATTTGCTTATAGTGTTGCATAATTGGATTACAGTTTCATTAGATCCGGATGTATTGTCCTTTGTAGATGTTGTTGATGATTTGATTAGTTAGCTTGTTTTGTTTTGGTTGTTTGCTTTCTTCTTGCTGACTTTAGGGCTGGTTTTTGTATTCGTTGCATCGCCTTGATGCTTTCTCAATAAAGTCTGCTATTTATCAAAAAAAGAGAGTCAGATTTACATATAGGATGCCGTGTACCATTACAGAAAGGCCTGGATTTTCATTGCTGTTAGCCGTCCATATATCATTGACGTTGAATGCTACAGTTGTAACAGCTGGCTGTTGCCACATGGTGGCAGTTACAGCACATGAATTTGATGGTTACGAACACTCTAAATATCATTCTTTCTCCTATTTTGTTATTAAAAAATTAGGGTACTATATTTGTAACATAGATCTATTGTTTTTATGTCAAATAGCAAGATGTGATCTGAGTCTTTGGCTTAAAGTTGAAGAATTGCACTTAGTAGTAGGATGTTATATCATATTCACTTGTACCTTTTTTTCTGGTTCTTTATTGAGCTGCACTAGCAACAGATATTTGGAAAAATATCCTAGTCATAAAGATTGTGAGACGAGTCAACTTCCAACTGATGTTAACCTGGGCAGCAATTTGTTTATAGCAAATTATGCCATTGATGTCGTGAAATGCATAAATGTCATCTAAATTTAGTAAAACATGCATGTTGATTGATTTTTCAACCTGTACTTATGGATGAAAGAATTCACAGATTTGGAAACAGTTTTTCCGTTTTACATGGATTTATAGTCCTGATCCTGGTTGTGTTAAACTGTGCCTGTGACCATTATCTTGACCAATAACACAATTTAAATCATGGCTCTCTGGAGCAGGCTAAATTTGTTTTCTGATCTGAATGTAAACTCTGTTATTATTCCTTGATTCAAATGCTTCTGGTAGTTTAGGTATCCTCAGTTATTATGTTTTTCTTTATTCTGCTCTGCTTCCTAACTGTGTCGAGATGACTTATCCTTGAATTGTTACTAATTTTTTGGATTCCAGTTGGACTACACGATGCGAATCTGTGAATACAATGGCATCATTTCTCTGGTGGATAGTTGGCTTCTATTGGGTTGTTTCTGGTGGTAACATTCTTTTGCACAATGCTCCACGGCTGTACTGGTATGTGTTGAATTAATCCAATTTCCAGTATCCTTTAATATTGTCCCAACAATGAAAGGTGCAAAATAAAACCAATGTGGTGGTACCAGCAGGGGACAACTTTTTTTTGGCTCGTTTTAAATGTCTATTTTTTTTTAATGAAAGCATGCAACTATCAGTTGCAGGGAATGAGTCAGGGAATCTCTTATTCTGAATATTACAGGTTGGCTGTGGTATTTCTGGCATTCGATGTGTTCTTCGCCATCTTTTGTGTTGTTTTGGCGTGTTTGATAGGGATCGCGCTTTGTTGCTGCTTGCCTTGCATCATTGCGATTCTTTATGCTGTTGCAGGCCAGGTAACAACATGACAGGCACAATGATCTAAAGTTGATTGCAGATTTTTCAGTAGTTTTCGGCTGATGTTAATTCTCTCATGTGAATAAACAGGAAGGTGCATCAGATGCAGATCTCAGTATCCTCCCAAAATACAAATTCCAAATCTCTGGCTGTGAGGAAAAGCCTGGTGTTGGAGGAGGTAGAATGGTTCCTGATGAAACAAGTAGTGGATGCTTGGCTAATGAACGAATTATTTTGCCTGAGGACGCAGTAAGTTATTGATTTTATGATGGAATGCTAGTGTTTTGTTTCTTTATGATTATAACCTATTTAAGTGAAATTCCTTCTTTCATTCTTTGCATTCTAATTTTAGGCACTATATTTTAAGGGGGAAAATTGGAGATTCAATAAGTCTTATAAACATATTAAGCCCATTGTCTTTGTTGAGTTTGTGTTGATTATTCTGTTTGAAAGAGAAGCACAATTTGTTAGGGTGAAAACTGAAGAAGTTGACAAGAAAAAAAAAAATTCCACAATGATATAGATAGAAATGGAAAGTCGAAGCTGAATGCTTAAAATGTAAATGATTTTTTCAAAAGATTGATTGATTTATTTATTATTATTATTTTTAAAAAAATAAATAAATAAAGAAGAGGTTTTAAAATAAATAAATAAATAAAGAAGAGGAAGAGGAAGAGGAAAAGGAAAAGGAAAAAGGCAAACTGAATGAGTTAAAAGTATTTTTCCTCAAGAGATTCCTTTATCTTTTTACTTTTCAAATGCAGATCATCATTGTTCGTGTGCATGCTTCAGGCATTTTGCCAAATTCTATCTATCAAACAAAAATTACAATTTTTCTTCTCTTACCGAGCCCGGGTAAAGGAAGAGGGTTGTGTGTTAGGTAGCCAACAGCTAATACGTAAAAAAAAGCAGCTCGGATCCTTTATGACAAGAAGCCTAATATTCTGAATCGATTAAATGTTAGGTAGTTCCCCTTAAGTGACACGTTGCGCTTGCCTTCGGGTGTTTCGAAAAGTGAGTAAGGGCGCCTTATCGACGCCTGGGTGCGGTGAAAAATGGGTAAATGTTTCTGCATTTTTCTGGACGAGTGCGGATAAAGAAACTAGTCCAAGATTATAGGTTTAGGGTAGCCACGTGGAATATAGAAATTTTAACTAGCAAGACTATGAAATTGATAGATGTCATGATTAGGAGAAGAATTAGTACAACTTGCGTACAAGAAGTTAAGTGAATGGGTGAGAAAGCTCGGAAAATAGAGGATATCGGTTTTAAGCTATATTATAGTGGCAATGATAGACACAAGAATGGGGTAGGAATAATAGTTGCCAAGGGTCTTGTAGAAAATGTAGTTGCGGTCATTAGGAAAGATGATAAGATTAAGTTAGTTAAACTAGTTATTGGAGAGAATATAGTGAACGCTATTAGTGCGTACGCCTCTTAAGTAGGATTAGATGATCAAACTAAGAGAGTTTTTTAGAACCAAATGGATGAGGTGTTACAAGAGATACCCATAAGATAGAATCTAGTTATAGGTGGTGATTTCAATGGCCGTGTAGGGGTAGATAAACTAGGTTATGAGAGGATACATGGTGGGTATGGTTTTGGTGATAAAAATGAGGCTGGAGAGAGCATTTTAAATTTTGCATTAACTTCTGACCTAGTGATGGCTAATATTATGTATAAGAAAAGAGAGAAACATGTGATAACCTTCAAGAGAGTTAATTAGGAGCTAAATAGATTACTTTCTAGTAAGAAAATGAGACTGTCTAAAATGTAGCGACTATAAGGTGATTCCTGGAGAGAGCTTGACATCTCAACATAGAATTTTGGTACTGGATTTGTGCTTTAAAGGGCAATATCAAGCTCGGAAAGATAGTGGGTGTTGCAAGACTAGATGGTGGGACCTAAAAGGGGATAAACTAGACACATTTACAAATAGAATGGATAAAGAAGGTACTTGGGACTTGGAAGATGTTGCTAACACTATGTGGAACTCGATGACTAATTGTATGAGGAGAATCTCAAGGGAAATTCTTGGAGAGTCAAAAGAAAAGGGACCCAACTTTAAGAAAACTAGGTGGTGGAGGGAAGAGATCCAAGCGGGTAATAAAGATGAAAAAAGAGAGCTTTAAAAAGTGGCAAAATGATAAAACTGAGAAAAACTTTAAGTGTTACAAATTGGCCAATAATGAGGTCAAAAAAATAAGAGATTTTACATAGTAAGGAGACTAAGTTGAAAGAGACTAGTTGAAAGCCTATGATAAGAGAGAGACTAAGTTGAAAGCCTATGATGACCTATACACTATATTACATAGTAAGGAGGGAGAGAAAAGGATATACAAACTTGCTAAGATAAGAGAGGGGAAAATAAGAGATTTTAATCAGCTTAAGTGCATCAAGGGTGAGGACTCTAAGGTGTTGGTGAAGGATGAAGAGATTAAGGAGAGATGGAAGAACTATTTTGAGAAGTTGTTAAATGAAGAACATGAAGGTAAGTCAAAAGGGGAGGAAGTAGGCAGTAATAAGGAAAACCATGACCATAGATTCTATCGTAGGATTAGGGACTTTGAAGTAGAGTTTGCTCTTAAGAAGATGCAATTGAATAAGGTTTTAGGACCCAATGATATACCTATTGAAGCGGTAAAATGTTTGGGTAAGAAGGAGGTTGTTTGGTTGACTAGGTTATTTAGTAAGATTTTGTTGACTAAGAAAATGTCAGAAGAGTGGAAGAAAAGTATTTTAGCGCCAATAAATAAGAATAAAGGAGATCCAGAATTGCAATAACTATATAGGAATCAAGTTAATGTATTACACAATGAAAGTGTGGGAGAGATTAATGAAACGTTGATTGCGAGATATAACAGAGGTGTCAGAGAATCAATTTGGGTTTATGCCTGGTAGATCAACAATGGAAGCGATATATCTTTTGAGGAGAGTAATAGAAAAGTATAGAGAAAAGAAAAGAGACATTCATATGATTTTTATCGGTATTGAAATAGTATATGATAGAGTGTCTCGAGATATAATCTGGTAGGTGTTAGAGAAGAAATGAGTGACAAAATGTTACATTGATGTGATTAGGGATATGTATGAAGGTGTGGTGACCACTATTAGATCGTCTACTGGACAGACGAGTGAATTTTCAATTGCTGTAGGATTACACTAAGGATCAACATTAAGTTCTTATCTTTTCTCTTTGGTTATGGATGAGTTGACGCGCAATATTCAGAATGATATGCCATAGTGTATGCTTTTTGCAGATAATATCGTGTTAATGGATGAGACTAGAGAAAAAGTTAATACTAAGTTAGAGATTTGGAGAAAAGCACTTGAATCTAAAAGATTTAGGATAAACAGAACTAAGACAGAATATATAGAGTGTAATTTTAGTAACAATCACAATGGAAGCAGAGGAGAAGTGAAGATTGAGAATCAAACACTACCTAAGATTGAACTAAGAGTTAACATTTTTGTTATTTAAGATCGATTATCATAACGACTAGGGAGATTGGAGCGTATGCGATCCACAGAATTAAGGTAGGGTGGCTTAAGTGAAAGAGTGCGTTTGGAGTACTGTGCGATAAATGAATACCCATTAGACTAAAAGAGAAGTTCTATAGAATGACTATTAGACCAACGATGTTATATAGGATGGAATGTTGGGCAACTAAGAAACAACATATAGATAAGATAAGTGTTGCTGAGATGGTGATGCTAAGGTGGATGTATGGTAAGAGTAGAAAAGATAGAGTTAGAAATGAGTATTTTCGAGAACAGGTAGGAGTAGTAAGATAAGTTGAGAGAGAATAGATTGAGATGGTTTGATCATATACGATGGAGACTAACAGAAACAGTAGTGAACAGATACGATACATTGAAGGTAGATGGTAGTGTTTGGGGAAGGCGTAGACCTAGATTGACGTGGATTAGTGTAGTAAATAGAGATACAAATCTCCTTAATTTGACAGATGAAATGGCCTTGGATAGAGTTGAATGAAGAAGAAAGATTCATGCAGCCGACCCCATTTGATGTGACTTAAGGCTTGGTTTGATTTGGTTTGGTTTGGTTTGGTTTGGCTTGGCTTTCTTGAGATATCACAAATGAATTAACAATATATCGACATTAAAGTTAGAATGCAGTACATGATGTGAGAAGAATAATATGGGAATGGGGTAGTAGATAACGAGAGATTTTATATGGTCTTTCTTGAGGTCTCACAAACGAATTAACAATATATCAGCATTGAAGTTAGAATGCAGTACACTATAAAGCACTGGTACTGATACGATATGGGTACGTTGATATTGTAAAATCTTTAAAAAAAAAGTAGGGTAGAGGTACGGGTACAACTTGGTATGTTTTATTTTAAATTTGAAGTAATGTAAAAATTGATTAGATGTTAAATTTGTTAAAATCCAACCTACAATTAACATTGAATGTCAAAAGTAAGGTATAAATCAAAATAAAATATTATTATATTAAATAACTTAGAAATCATAGCTTAATTTTCAATCTTGCTAAGCATAAAACCAAAAATATAAAAGAAATCTAGTGAAAGGAATTTAATCTCTGTAATGGAAGAAAATATTATTTTGACTAAGGTACAGTACAGCTTGGGTATTATACTAGGCACGTGTGAGTACTCTAAAAATTAAAAAGAAAAATTTTTGGTACATTTTCGTATACCCGATACATATGCAGAAGTACCATACTTCGGTATATACTCGGTACGGGTATGGCATGTTTGTTGAAGTACCTATACTTCATATATGAGAATAATAATATGGGATAATGGGGTAGTAGATATTGGAGTCTTATAGTTCAAAAAAAAGATAATGGAGTCTTATCTCAAGACTGCCCTTGAGAAGTAGGAGTCAATCTCTACGGAAAAATTTCATGAGCCTAGATTTTGAATTATGGATCAAGAAATGGAGCAGTAGATTGTCAGTCGTTTTTTAAAGAGTAGTTGATGCTGGAATGCCATAGTGGATATATTTTAAAAGCACATTTTTCTTTTGAAAAGATGAAATTTTGTGATATTTGCATGAAATTGATCAGGAAGTTTTTATTAGTAGCTATTATTTATTTATTTATTTATCATGGACAGCTTCGTACTTTCCTTTAACATTACCTTGGAAACTTGCTTTCAATGTTTCTCTTTGTTTTTTTCCCAAGGAATGTTGTATATGTCTGACTCCATACGAGGATGGAGCACAGCTTCATGCGCTTCCCTGCAACCATCATTTCCACTTGACATGCATTGTGAAATGGCTTAAGATGAATGCAACATGTCCACTCTGCAAGTACAACATCCTCAAGGGAATGGAACAGGTTTGAGAAAAACTTTCAATGTTGCTGGTTGAAGTTGATGAGTTTTCTCTCTCCTTTGTCTCTGAATGTACAGGAGAAGTCAAGGCAAGAGATACAACACAAGCTTTCCTGATGCATTCATCAAAATAAATTTGTAGAATTTATTTAATTGAGCTTCATTTTGAGTGTTTGTTTCAGTCTTGAGGTGACGTCTTGATTTATTTTTCTTCTTTTTAACTGGTGTGAAAACAAAGCTACTTCCAATTTCCAACCTTTTATTGTATTTTAGTTTGATTAGTAAAAAAGAAGAATATATATATACACACACATACACAAGTACTTGTAATATTAGAGAACTGTAGTGTACCATTGTAATTATGGTGTGATTAATGATGGATTAATGTTGGAATGGGTTTTTTTTTATTGGGGCAAATATGATCTGATTAACTGGATCGATTCTCTTTATTTATCTCCTGAGATTGGCTAATATTCCCTCCGTCTCAAAATATTAGTCCTTTATTTTATTTTTCACTGTCTCAAGATATTAGTCCCTCTTCAAATATCAAGTACAAAAATAATATAAATTTCATATTTTGCCCGTCTTTTAAATTAATAAACAATATAAAAAGTACAATTATGACATTGATATTTTAAAAAATGTGCTATTAAAAGAGTAATTTTGAAAAATTAACTTTTTTAAAATGTAATAATTGTACTACTAAAAAAAGTTGAATTTCTCAAAAGAGACTATTATTTTGGGACAAAGCGAGTAGTAATAATAATATATTTTATTAGGGTAGTCCATGACGGATCATAGAGATTGTAATTTGTATAGAAGCACATATTAAGAAATTAATCATTTATTATGGAAGAAGTGAGTTTCATTGCGGCCTCTTTTGCAAGGATCTCGTGTTTTTTTTTTTCTTTTTAAGGAGGAAAAGGGTCTCATGTTGCTTGCTTGAAAATGCTTCAGATTTCTTCACTTGTTAGTAAATTCATTTCGAACAGAGAAGATGCTGGGAGTTCTGGATGTTAAGAGGCTTTTCTGAAACATATAAAATTTTAATCAGACAACATTGTAAACACCAATCCTTCCTTTTTCTAATCGCGTAAACACCAAAGTCAGCCTCTCAAACCTAAACACCCACAACCTCCATCGCTTACAATAACGACTCAACTTATGGTCACTGATACAACCTGCACTCAAAGCCTAAAACATAAGTCAAGCTTTATGAGAAAAGCGGGCCACTCAACTTATGGACACTGATACCACCTTCACTCAAAGCCTAAAACCAAAGTCAAGCTTTATCAGAAAAGAGGTCCATCAATCCCTGTCTCTCATCTACCTGGCTTTTTAACCGTCGACCATCTGGACTCTTGCGGTAGAGAACTTGAGAAGTGTGGTCCTACCTCAACTTTTGCTCCTCTGGTAATCGGGGAATACCTAGAAGACTACAACCACCAGTGGTGGTGCCTGTCTTCAACCGTGACTATGTCTATTTCAGGTGTTACATGGGTTACTGGGCCAAGTGGAACTTGTCTCCAAATCACTGACTGACATATGAAATGAAATCATAGCCAACTGATGCATGAAAGAACTCATACCCAACCATAGCCAAAAAAAAAAGACTGCACATGAAAGTGGTGATAGTTGTGTAGACAGCATTTGCTACATTGCTAATCAATATGCAGTGAACCTGCAGTTTTCATTTTTCATGGAAAAGAAACCATCCCTCATTTCTTCTCCAGCAATTGCAGAAAATCGCAAGCAATGAACTCTGTTTATATTGCCATGGTGAACTAATGCAATTTCAGCAGCTTCTTTTTCTTTTTTCAAGAAAGTTACCCGAGACATCAGCGATACCAGTAGTTCAAATAAGCATGAATTTAAACCAATACTTGTAATAGAAACAACATAGGTAGGTTTACATTAGCGGAGCTAAAACAATTTACTGAATATACACAGCATGCGCACATAATAAATTTGAAGAATAGGGCATATATATATATCCTGATAAGCACAGGTTGCAGAGCTTCCTCCCTCTAATTGATTCTCAGTAATAAGCACAGGTTGCAGAGCTTCCTCCCTTTAATTGATTCTCGGTAAGCGGCGAACAAAATCAGCATGCAGTGCATGGCCACCCTATTATGACATACAGTTCACTTAGCAACCTCATTCAATGCATTATTGTAATCATACCTCGCTCTGATACCATGAAAAAAATATATGTATTATTGATTGATGAATTGATTTCATCTGTCTATTACAAATAGTTCCTTATATAGATGTAGGTGTAGTGGGTTAGGTTTAGTGGAGTAGGTGAGGTGGTAGTGGTGTAGTGGGTTAGGTTTAGTGGAGTAGGTGAGGTGGTAGTGGTGGTAGGTTTATTGATAAATTTTAACATTTAATCATGAGAAAAATTTATACAAATCAGTTAGAGAGAGTATCTTGAAAATCAGGATTAATGCATTATTCAAGGTTGTACTATTATGGCCACTTCTGAAAAACAAAGGAAAATTGGCCAATAGATAGTATAGTAAGGAGTTAAATTCATGGTCAGGGGATAGTTAAACATTTTTTGACGAGACATCCATAACACGGAGGCACAAATTGAAGTAGACACTGCTCATGGGATTACAGATATAGTGGAGAAATGTCTCTTAAGTGTTGTGCTATAAATATCAACAATAACAGGAGTGGCATGAATTCAAAGTAGACATTGCTCATGGAATTGTAGGTAAGTGGGGAAATGTCTCTTAAAAGTTGAGCTATAAATAGGACTGAATTCAGTGTGTACCATCAAGAAACTCAATCCTCAAAACTTTTGACTCGACAAATAAGGCACAGATTTCAACCAAATGAAACTGAAACTCAATCCTTGAAACTTTTGACTCTACTGATCAGGCACAGGTTGCAACCAAATGGGACTGGATTTGGGGATTAAGGTACGAGATGACAAGTAGGCACTCATTCAGGCAGGAATCACACCGAAAATCTTTTGAATGATAAATTTACCTCTAAGTAATAATCCCCATGGCTTGAGCCCAACCACTAAAGGTTCACCCTAGGCTTCATCATTCCACTTATTTTTGTGAAAACATACAACAATCATATAAATAATATAATTAAACCAAAACCAAACCGCAATGTCTGGCCATCCGAAGTCCAAAATAACAAAGAGATTGGGAGAGATAGATAAAGAGAAAATAAACCATATCGAGTCCTCTTTGTAAACTGTCTACATGTAGACAAACTAAAATAAACAGCACCCAATTAGTACACATTAATGTAGCCAAACCTAACCTTTGGCATGTCGCCAAACTAAAACAATTAGAAATTTAATTACATAGCTTCAGGAAGGGGAATACCTCAAATAATCCTAATGATGACAATCAAAAGGAAGGTGAACAAAAAGGATGTATATCTCTTTAGAACCAAACCATAATTTTTTGGACTCAAACACTGTAACCACTAATTCAAATACACAAATTAGCAATAAAGCAAATTAGCATGCACACAATATGACTCTAACCCTTGACTCTAATCTAAACAAAAACCAAATAAACAGAATTATGAGGCAATTAACATGATAACCATATTAACTGATCATAAGAAACTCCAATCTCCTGTTAAAAATTAATAAACATGTAATCAGAATAAAAACATGCCATGATTGACAATAATATGTTAATCTTAACTTAAACATGAGACTCAATCATGACAAAAGCTTGGATAGCGAAACAGAGAGATCAAATGGACTCAGAAAATTATGAAACTTTTTCAGGACACTACCTATATGTGATTAACATGCCTACCAAATTTCAGAAACAACCACCAAACAATTTAGGAGATAAAAATCAGACTAAATTCGTACAAAAAATAGGAAAAAAAAAGATGGGGTCCACAATCAACTGTCTCCAAAATTCATGAAATTAATTCTAGAGACATGATACTTATAACAACCAATTAAAACAGTTTTTATAGACCTTCATACCGTTGTAAGAGAAACAACACCCCCTTGCCACATGGTGGCAGTTACAGCAAAACAAACCCCCCAAAATGGGCAGAAATTGAAAAAGTGCGAAAGACCCTACTTTAATGCAATCCTAAGCTTTCATGTGAACTAGTGATTTCGAACTAGTCTAAACATGTTCTAATGCATGAACAAAAACATGAGAAGAACTAAAGCAATAAACATGAATTAAATAAGAAAAACTAGAAGCCTAGAAACTAAACATGGCGAAAAGAATGCGAAACAAAAAAGCAAATCAACTATACATTAACTGGGACCTTTTTCTTTTGTAAATTCCTCGTGCTCTAGCCTTTTGGTGTTTAACAGAATGATCAGCCAGTCATATGGGGCTTGTTTTGTGCTGGCTGTTAGTTTTTTCCCAGGTTGATTCTAGAACATTTTCAAGTCAAAATTTGGACTTTTTAGGACTTGAAATCAACTTTGAAAATGTTCAAAACACATTTAGGGATATAAATTACAAGTTCAAAAAGAGTTTATGGTGGGCAAAAATGGTAGCTTATCATTTTGAGGCACGAAAGAGGTTTGGATTTCAGCAAAATGTGAAAACATGGATTTCTAGACCTAAGACGATTCCAAATAAAGGCTAGGTTCACAAAATTCTTCATAATTGCTCTTCTATGTCATGGGGAAGCAGCTCAACTCCAGGACTAAGTATTATAGCTGGTCAAAATAGGGAGTCTACAACATGAAAGCACATAAATAGCCATGCCTTTTTTATAGCCAGTTAAGTTGTCAACTAGTCCCCAACACCCCAGATTGCAACAAAATTTGCTGTCTATTGACCGGAGGTTACTAATCATATTAGAGCTACAAACATAGAAGAAATGAAAGGAACACATGCCTTGTAAGAAACTATATGTGCCATTGGAAGCCCTTGACTACCACATCGTGCAAACAGGGAAAGGTCACCAATAAGATCTAAAACTTTATGTCGACAAGGTTCGTCCTGGAATCGCAGTGGTGGATTCAACCAACCTTTACTGGCACTGTATAACCAATAGTACAGTTATTAATGTCTTGAGACGAAATGTAAACTAATAAAAAATTTATGCAGAAGGGAAACGAACTTAGTAATGCCTTAATCTGCTAGATCATTAGTAATGGCTTAATTTGCTAGATTTCACACTCAAGTAACAAGGCTCTTGATTTTCTACTTGATAATTCCAATTAAGGCCTCGTTTGGGAACAGGCTAATTTAGTAACTTTTTGACTATTTGGCTAAAAAGGTAGGTAAAAAAAACTTGTGTGTTTGGGATGACTTTTTGGCTAATTACGAAAAAATGTGCAAAAAGTAGAGAGAAAAGAGAATCTTTGACTTTTTGGTATGGGTTGTTGGCTTTTTGGCTAATTTAGTAACTTTTTGGCTAATTGGCTAAAATAGCCTCTTGCCAAACGGGGCCTAAATATTGACAAAAATTCAAGAATATTTACTAAACCAAAGAACTAATAAATAGTTTCAGTGGCAAGTGCGGACTGACTCATGGACGAAGCATACAAAAAATGAATGTTTCAACACCAGTGAATACAATGTCCACGCTGTTTTGAACACCAGCAAAGAAAACCTTTATGATTTGCTTACCCAAGTAAAAAAATGCAAAGGATAACATAATAGGACAAAAATAAGGCACCTAAGTTGGCAATCCAAACCTGCATCATGCTTCCAAGGCTAAATCTCAAAACAAGAATGAAAATGCAAAATAAGGAAATCTAGAGGGTCCATACAAGTAGTTTTTACAAACTGTTTTTGTATTGCTTAGACAACTCCCATTTTACCAAGGCCAAATCTCTAAAGTGGTGCAACAAGAAATGGTTAAAACTGATATGATTTATTAATTAAGGCAACACTGTAGGCAATGGAGTAAAACTGTGTCACAATTTACAAATGTAGGTTGAGCAAGATATACATGTGCCAAAGTTGGGGCAACTTTATGTGTGTTCAGTGAGAGCAATATGTTGGCCTGTATAGAATCTGTCCACTTAGTGTTGCGATGAGAAATTTTTTAATCCAACAATGCAGACATAAAAAAACGCATTTTATCTTGCATGTGGCTTACAAGTGGAAGAGCAGATCCCAACTTGTTTCATCACTTGATCACCCAAGATAATGAAGGTTATAAAAAACAAAATGATGCGAAGAGGGTGGATGGTAGGATTTGACATTAGATGCTTGATTAGGATTTAAAATGCATGTACTGTGATAAAGCCAACAGGTTCAACTGACAATCTCTCTGCCTTGTTATTTTTTTTTTGATTTAGTTCTTAAGATGTAAGAAAATTGTGATCAGTTTGACAAATGTAGATTGACAGAGAGACGTTTCTTAGAGGTGGAAACATTTGGCAAGTTCAGTCCTAGAGCAACATCCTAGCATGTAGAAAACCCAGTCATGTTGTATTAAGTCGTGGGAAAATACTGAATCCAAATAAAGGGACAAGCCACGTGGCATATCCCCTCCGTATCCCTATGTCCAACACCGCTAGAATGCCTATTTCAAAGTGTCAGTGCTTCATAGCCTACGATATTATTTATCCTTTTCGTCAAACAAATATGAGCTTGTTTGGGTTGGTACTATATAAGCACACTTTTTATTTTTTTTTATCTTTTTTGAGTCACATCACCTCTCTGCTTTTCTACACATCTTTTCGTAAAAAGTCAAAAAGTGCACTTATTTAGATCATCTCCCAAGACAGATCATAAAAGCAAAATGATGAGTGGGGTAAGTTGATTTAGATTTCAGCATTGGAGCTTAAAAATCTTTGGTTTTTCAACTAACAATCTTTATGCATGATGCTTGTTATTTCTTTTTTAATTTGGTTGTTAAAATGTAATGCAAATATTTAATTGTTGCATGAAGAAAGATTTTGTTGGCAATAGTTATTTTTATTTGCATGTTGCAATGATTTTACTCTGCAAAATAACTCTCTAGGGTAAGATGGCATCAAATTTCCAGTTAAATTTTCAACAGCTTTCTAGGTTTCTGGTTTAGAGAATAAACAGAAGGATTTAAAAAATTAATACTTCTTTTAATGGTTTCTAATCTGAACAAGTTTTTACCAAAGGTTTTAAACCTAATGGTTTACAATTACACTTCACATATACAAGGTATCTTACGATTCATTGCAAAAGAATTATTACACAACCACCTCATAAGTGATCAAAGCACACATTTCTGTCAAAATACATTCTTGAACTGCAACACCAAGAACTTAAGGAATCCTAACATGCTTTCACATCCCAAAAATCTCTCTAATGTATCACAAAATGAACCACCTCACCTACAAACAATGGCATTTTCTTCTGAGCCACCTTTAATAAGTCCTGCATTGCGCAATCGCTCCACCTGCAACAATTTCCAATCTTTGACTCCAAAACTAACTACATGGATTCAGTGCAAGATGACTCAAATAGTACACCAAGAAAGATAATTTTTTTCTCTGGACATCTAAACTCAGTATAATGAACCAATAGATTCTTTTTTATTAGTGGGTCTTTATAAAACTACAAAAAAAAATAGATAAATGAAAATATAAGTAAAAAATAAAGGTAATAAAAAAACTCAAGTTGAGAAGGATTATCACTTATCAATACTTCAAGGGAAAACAAATAACAGAAATGAACTTGAAAGAGCATATTCAGGCGAATAGGAATATATCACTCCCTTTTGATCTTACAAAGGATATTTCCAAAAGGATAATTTTAATCATTTTAATAGCCATGGAAACCTAATTCTCCGAAGTTGCTTCCAATACCCTTAACACATCTCAGGTGGCAGAAACAAGAACCAGAACATGCAATACTCAAAATTTGTGCTTGCGTTGATGATGGAGGGAGTTTAGAATGAACCTCTTCATAAATGCAAAAGGTCCTTGAAGGAGCTATTTGTTTAGCATAGAAAGTGCTGCCAATTAAGTTGGAAGAAAACCACTGGCAGCCAATAGCAGGTACCTGCAACAATGAAGTTATTGAGGTTCATTCTGTGTAGCATTTTAATATTTAGTCAAACTCAAAACTTCATTTAGTTTTCCTACTTTTACCAGAGAGTCCTGGTACACCATCTACCATATATATCAGACAGCAACAATTTAGTTTTATAGTTAACCGGACATGTATGATGCAGTTAGGTAATATTCTTCTTCACAGTTTCCCAAAAACATTTGATCTTTTAACACTCCCTAACCACTTCGAACTACTCCCTTCACATCTTCTTTCCCTCACCTCACCTTATAATTTCTTCCTTAATCCTATGTCTTTCCTTCCCAAGCTGACCAAGGACAACCCCAAAGCATTGAGCACCTCTTTAAATTGGAACGCACCTTACTCATCGATAGGAAAAGAGAATAATTGGCACATCTCCCTCAACCATTTCTCAGTTTCATTAGAACTCCTATCCCCTCCCACTACCCTCAGCGTTACCATGATTGGTGGTCACCTTCTTAGAGACCATAATCTCATGGCATTTCTTTCAACATATTCATTTGTTAAAGTATTACACTATCCTCAATGTCAGAGTTGCTGAGCTTGTACTATCTTTATGTAATATTAAGATTACTACTTGAGAAGAAGACAACGTAGCTACACACCACAGGGGAAGGGGGATCTCTATTTGCTAAACAGGTTCTATATATCATTAAGAGCATTAAATGTGCCAAATTCTGTCAAAACAAAGTATCTTTACTAAGTCGTTGCACAGTTGAATGTCATAGTTTGGAACAGTTCAATGAAACAGCAAATCTTCCAATGCACACACATGAAAGCAGCGAGCAGAAAATGAGTGTAAATAAAATATCAGGTCAAAGTAGTGCAGATAAATATTCTGAAAAGAGTTCTTGAAATTTCATTGTCTCTTCATAGAAGAAAAAGGCAGCAAGCACAGAGGTTTATTTACAGGTTCATATGAACAAACAGCAAAACAGAATGTGTCATTTTTTGTATTCTCTAATGTAAACATACTATTTAGCAAAGCGCAGAAATATACCTGCGAGAAGTTAATTCCACAAGTGATGTGAACTTCTGGAGAAGGGAATGCAACTACAAAAGAATCATTCCTCCTTGCATGAACAGGTTCATTAAGAAAAGGTGCCATTTTCTCACAACTATTTCCACCCCGATCTATGGCCACCCTTAACCCAACTTGTTCAATTGCTTCCACCCACTCCCTTGCAGATCCATCTAAAATTGGAACCTGCGTCAGTTTATTTGGATACTATTAGTCTCCTTGTGCTATATTCAGCGTATTCTATTTGCTGACCCGACCTTCAACTAGTTATACGAATCTAGGGAGTTCATGGATGTGTTTGCCAAATTTTAATTCAAAGTTTAATTGTTCATACAAACGGAGGAAATTTAGGAGCATATATTAAACCCCTAAACTATCAGTCTATCACAAAATTTACCAAATATCTGAAAATAACATTCACCAAAAAACAATTTTTTTTCTTTTAATTAAGGTAGTGTTCATTATTTTTTCCCCCCACCATTATGATCATAGACAAGTGGCAAGTAAATGTCAAATCAGTTGACTAAACACACGGATAAACCATCGCCATTTGTCGCAATGACATGCCAATATTTCCAAATTCCAATGTCAAACACATTCTTAAACTCCCGAAATTGTCACAACTTTAAACCTATATTTGAACTCATAAAATAATTCCTCACTCTCATAAGCCAAATTTGCTTTCATTCAAGCCCGTGATGTTTGGTGTAGCTTATTGTAAGCTAAAAATTGATAATCAAAAAACAAAAGCTAAAAGCACCTCATCTTCAGCTCCCAAATAATCAGCTTTTCAACTTATTTAAGCTATTTCTACCTAATAAGCTATAAATAGAAGTTGTACCAAACAGTCTCCCAAATTCAAATGAGCTATAATCAGCTCATGGAAGCTGCAACAAACAGCCTTGAAAAGCCAATGTCATTCCTACCCTTAAATGCCGTGTTTGGTTCATAGATTTGGGAAGGTATTTGGAAAGGGGAAAAGAAAAACCTGTGAAACCAGGTGAAATATATATATATTTTTTATTTACATTTCTGCCTTTTCTCTTTCTCTTTCCAAATCGCTCTCCAAATCTTGAAACAAACGCAGACTAACAGAAAGATAGAGGATTTCACGGGACAATCCAACAATCAATTATCAGTTGCATCACATTTATAAAGTAATGATAAAGTTGATTACTAGTCCAAATTCAAAGACTCTCTCTATATATACATATATTTTGTGATACGTATACCTCGAGAGAATGATCTTCAGAGTCGGAGCTTGTGATCTGGATTCGGCAATTATCAACACCGGTGGCCTCCAAAGCCGAGAGCAAGTGCTCAACAGTTCGCACACTGTGCCCATCTTTATGCAGCGTAGTAGAGAGAGGGCTCTCTTTAGCGAAATCGATCGATGCGGGAATCAAATTCGAACGACACTCGAAATACCTTCCTTCTCCAGCGAACTCCGGTGAGATCTTCACCGTCGCGACCTTTCCTGAATGCAGAGCCTCTCCGGTCCTCTCTATGCACTTCGCTATGGTTTGCTGAAGCTTCCCAGTCTGGAATCACAGCAATACATATATATAGTCGCATCGCAGGCATGTATGTATAATAGAGAGAGAAAGTAGAGAGAGAGAGAGAGAGTACTGATTTCCAGGAGATGAGAGAGGAGGACTTGAAAGCGCCGGCGAGAGTCATAGGTGCCTCTGATGAGAGACACGGAGCTCTGTTGTGCCGTGCTGTGCTATGCTGACTGTCTTAAACAAATAATTAAAAATGATTTTAAAAATTAAACCCCCCCAAAAAAAAAATGGAAGGTACATGAAAAAATAAAAAATAATAATAATAATTAAAGTCCTAATATTAAAATTTTATAGTACAGAGGACACTCAATATTTTTATAATGTCTAAGGTTTCTCAACATCAATTCAGAAAAAATTCGATCCAGATAAAATTCAATCCAGAGAATTTCTCTAGACACATCGCAGAAAAAATTCCAAATTTCTCTTGACATATCACAAAGAAAATTTCAAAATTCTCTGGACTTAATATTAGTCCTCCGAGGGTACTGATATAATCCAAAGATTCAGTATCTATTAATTCAATCTACACTATGTAATTCGTGGACTAAAACATGGATTCCAAATTTAAATTCAGAGAAAATTGAATGAACACCAAGAGAAAATTCCAATCCAGAGAAAATTGAACATTTTAATCTAGAGATCAGTACCTATTAATTTCATTCTACACTCTGTAATTCATGAAGATAGTGATATAATCCAGAGATCCAGTACCTATTAATTCAATCTACACTCTGTAATTCATGGACTAAACACATGGATTCCAAATTTCAATCCAGAGAAAATTGAATGAACACCCAGAGAAAATCTCAATCCAGATAAAATTGAACACCCAGAGAAAATCTTAATCCAAATAAAATTGAATATTTCAATGTAGAAATCAATACCTATTAATTTCAATCTACACTCTGTAATTCATGAGGGTAGTGATATAATCTAGAGATCCAGTACCTATTAATTCAGTACCTATTAATTTAATCTACACTCTGTAATTCATGGACTAAAATATGGACTAAACACATGGATTCCAAATTTCAATCCAGAGAAAATTTCAATCTAGAGAAATTTGAACACCTAGAGAAAATTTCAATCCAGAAAAAATTGAACATTTCAATCTAAAGATCAATACCTATTAATTTCAATCTACACTCTGTAATTTATGGACTAAAATATGGATTCTAATGACCCAACCTTGAGATCCACAGCTTGATGACTGCCCAGGTTGCAACTTCTCACAAATCACAAAGAAAGATTCTATGTATCCGAAAAGCAAAATAATTTTCCCATTAAAGAGAGAGAGAGACACACACAAAGATACTGTACTATTTATATACAGAGAAACAGATGAGCAAAATAGTTCAAATAATTTCACCGGAATCTCACATTTCAACTTCTGAATTGGTTTAATCATCTATTCATTGTTAATTGTTGAACCAGTAAAAATTTTGAACAAAACACAAAAGAGCCACACAAAACAAACCAAAAATAAATAAAATAAGAAAGTAGTTGTTAACAAAGACTACAAAATTCCAAGAAAAGAAAAGAAAAAAACTTGCAAAAATTAGTAAAATTTGCCCCCAAAACACAAAAAATTACAACAGTGGAAAAACAAAAACCCATTATCAATCATATATACATGTCTACCTTAAATTCATTTTTGTTGAAAGCATTAATTAGTTTTTGAGATAAGCTCAATAATCAGGCATGAGCTGACTAATTTTACCTTCTTCAACAGTCATATTCTGCTCAGAAACTCTCAACCATATACACACAGCACTAAAATTGAGCACCAAGCTCAACAACCCACTTCCCAATCCGATCCCCACAACTGGCATAATCGAAAGGCCTTTACTACTCACTGGCGGCAATGGGTACCCATAGAGATCCTTATTCCCCACATACGAGCTAGTATTGGACCTCACCAAATTCCCAATCTGGTTCCCCAACGCCACCGAAATCAGACTCGCCAAGCGGTTATTCGACACATCGAAAACCGATAATAGCACCAGAAGCCCCAGTCGCTGCGAAATTGGACCCGTGATAAGATTATTACTGAGATCGATGACGTTAAGGTAGGTGCAAAAGGCGATTTGAGGTGGGATTTAGGCGGAGAAGAGGTTGGAGGAGAGGTTTATGACAGAGAGGTTGACCAGGAATTGGAGAAGAGGAGGTTACAAGAGAATCAGATTGTGTGGGATTGGAGAATTTGCTTGGGGGTAAAGAAATTGAGGAAGAAGACAACAGGCAGGTTGAATGATGAGAGAGAGAGAGAGAAAAAAAAAAAAGAAGATGAAATCGAGAAGGTAGAGAGATAAATGAGGTTTGATAGAATGAAGATCAGAAATAAAGAGTCAAATTTCTCTGATATGATATATGGGTGTGGGTTTAGGGACCATAGACATTAAAAAATAATATCGTGGATCTTTTCCATTACTAAAAATGGGAGAGAGACCTTACACTTATTTTTCCCAAAAAAAATAAAGGAAGTTTTAAATGATCTAAATAATTATGTATTTTTATTTTTTATATAATAATGTGTAAAAAAAATAAAGATGTGATATTATTAAAAAAGATAAAAAAATAAAATATATGTGTTTTTAAGTCGTGCCAAATAATCCCTTAATAAAATAAAATTCAACTATCTCAGTTTTTTTTTTAATGTCTCTAATATTAAGATTTTATAATATAAAGAACATATAATATTTTCATAATGTCTAAGGACCCTCTAGATAAAATTCAATCTAGAAAAATTATTTCTAGAGAAATTTTGTGAATTTCTGCGACCTTCAAAAAAAAAAATTCTTAACTTCTCACTCTCCAGAAAAATTCTAAACTTCCCACAAAATTACCTCTTTGGTAGCAGATGAACAACAATCTAACCTAGATGTTCATATTTCAAAATATGTGGTTGAATTGAATTGATGGAGAACTTTATGAAACCCTAGATTATAAATTGTGTATAAAACAAATCTACAATTGGAAAACTCAAAAAACAAAGGAATGTGAGAGAAATGAAGTGGAAAACGAAATGGGAGTGTGAGAATTTGAAATAAAAAATGGTTATTATATACATATTCTACAAAGAAGTGAGTGAAACATTTGAATTTTTGAGATAGATTTCCAAAGTTTCTTCTTTTTTTCTTCTTTGTTGGTGACGTTTTGAGAGAGAGAAACTCCTTAATTCATCACCAGTGAGTTTCAAAATACAGTTCCATAAATTTCTTTCTACACCCAATTGTGGTCGTCATCAGTCATCCACCACCGCCGTCAATGTAAAAGAGGCAACAAAGTGAGGTCGAGAGAGGTGAGCCAACATGTTTTGATTTTTAAAGTGGGTTCCAAGAGAGAAAATGAAGAAGGGAAGCAGGGAGGCAGGGAGGGGAGGAAGGAAATCGCGACATGAGAGTAAGAAAAGCACGACGGCGACAGGTGGTGGCTGGCAGCGATGGCAGATCGGGCAGTGACGATAGATGAAGAGAGATATGAGGTTTGATTTGAGAGATTCAAATTTCTCTGTGATATATGGGTGTAAGGGTTAAGGGATCTTAGATATCTCAAAATAATATTGTGGATATCTTCTATTATAAAAGTGGAAGAGGGATGTTAAACTATTTTTTTTTCCCCTGACTTCCTACTTAATGGTTTATTAATTTAAAATATCGTGTGACATTTAGGTTGCATTTGGTTTATTGATTTTGTGAGAGATTTAAAAAAAGAAAATAAAAAAATTATAAAAATTAAGTGAAATATATGTATATTTTATTCAAAATTTACTTATTTTAAAAGTCGTTTTCATAATTTAGTTAGTTGTTTTATTTTTAACGAAAAATTATTCAAAAAAATAAAGAGAATAATTGACTTATGTATATATATATATATTTTACTATTCTAACATGTGGCCAAAATAAGCCTTTATACAAGATTAAGGGGTATTTGGGAAGAGAGTTTGGTTAAAATAATTCACTAAAAGATACAATAAGCTAAATAAAATTATAAAGTAAAATATTGGTAAAAAAAAAAAGAGAGATCCAAACATGTACTATTTTTTATTGAGAGGGTAATTTATATGAATAAATTGGGCCGAGATTGGGTAATGGGCCGCTTTGGGCCATAGTAAGAAAGGCGGAGTAAAATGGCTTTTTTCATTAGCTCGGTCAAAGAAGGCCTTGTTGTTATCTCGGTCGCCACGGCCAAATTGGTTGGCCCGATCGTAATTTTTAACCGAGGTATACCTAGCCTTCTTCGGGACTTTTGTTCTTGGTTAGCTCGGTCCAACTCTTCTACGGCTAGCTCGATCTTGGTATGCAAAGCCGAGGTAGAAGTGAGGAAGTAAAGAGCCGATCTGACAGTTATCTCGGTTGTATGATCATCCTGCCAAGGTAAAACCATCTCACTTGGTTTAAGCAGTGAGGGGGTGTTGAAGGATAAGCATTATATTTCAGGAGTGTGAATCCTAGGAGGACTCTACATGGAAGAGTAAGAGTCCTATTAGGATTATGCCACACGGAACCTATAAAAGCTCATAACATCATCTATGGAGAGGTAACACAACTTTGATTCCTGAATACGCAGAGCTTTTGTCTATTTGTCTATTTTGCTGACTTAGGCGTCGGAGGGGTTTCCGGTACACACCCGCCGGCTAGCTCACGTTTGTGTTTTCAGGGAGTAAAGCGACAACGTTTGGAGGAGCGCAAACTTGATCAACGGGGTTATACGAGAAAGTTTATTTCTTTCCCGTACACTTATTATTATATTTATCGATTAGATTTTCATTAATGCATTAAATAAAATTATGAAATTAAACAATTAATTTCATAAATTAAATTGTATAACACTAGTAGGTTGTCATGACCCAAACCCCCCTACAAGTTTAGCGTTGTAACCGCCCAGTAATCTTTGAATTACCAAAGGCCTCTGTACAGAATAACAGATAATTAAGGGGCTTACAAAAGCTATTACACAGAATACAACGTCCATAAAGTTGTGTAGACATACATGGGACATAAAATATAAGACTTATATATGTATACATATAGGTGACGTCATAATACAGTAGTCTCACGCCACCCACAAATACAAATAAAACGAAGATGGGACTTAGCCCAAGATGCAGATAGACAGAAGTTGTACGAGAGTCTCAAAAACACAAAACAAAATAGTTAAACATGGTTCACAAAACATAACACTCCTTGACTTGACTTAATTTGGAACCTCCTCGAGAGGCACAAAGGGTGAATTCAAAACCATTTCGCAAAAATTAAGGCCCAAAGGCATGTCAATTGTATGAAATCAAACTTGAAATATTAAACCATTACATGAACTTAACATGCAAGTAATTCTTAACTTCAAAACCTTCAAAACAAGATCAAATGAGATGTTCAACTCAAGAATATGATAAATTCTCAGAAGAAGGTCAAAACATGGACATGCAAAAGGGGAATTCTTTGAAAACAACCTCAAATTGTGATGGAATGAACATGCATGCATGATATGGTCTTCCTACCAATTCATTAGCTCAAGACTTGCTTAATTCAACTTAATCCTCTTGAATTCTCTACATTAACAACTTCCATACAAGGATTATGAACCAATTTCTCACCTAAGGTTAACAATTGAGTTCTAGCTTGTTATATCTTTGAGCTTCCAAGTCAATATCTTCTAGGTTGCTAGCAATACTCTCCTTCTTTTCTTCTTGAATTCACTTTCTCTCCCTAAGCTCTCATTCTCCCTCACGTTTGGAGCTTTAGGAGTATGAATTATTGGTGCAAAAATGATCTTATAGGGTCAAATTAGCCTAGTATAGGCTCACTTAATGACACTTATTTAGTTGGGGGTTAAAGACAACTAATTGGAATTAATTTATTTCAATTATTTGATTCCGAATCGAATTTCAATTCAACTTACCACAACGTTCTAAAAATTCTAACTAACATATATACCAAGTCAATTTCACGATCGGATGCCGATAAGGTCTTCAATTAGCAGCACAAAACATAAACAGAAACAGACATTCCTATGATAAATAGATAGAAACCCATATAGCATGTAACACATGCAATTAACTTAGGATTTCATCTTATTTACTTATTTGACATAATTAATCATGGTTAGTCAGCTAATCACAGGTCAGGATTGTTACATAAGTGACCTGTGTGATGCACCGTAATTTATTTTTTAAATAGAAAATTAAATATAAGTTACGTGTAGAAAATTTTAATAATTTAAAGTTAAATACAAATAGTTTATCAATGGCTGTTGAAATTTTTTGTCACATTGTATGGTTCTATGTAAAATAAACTCATAACAATAATTTCTTTCAATTTTTGTTTTTAAATGTATTATAGTTTGAAATCAAATCCTCATTTGTGTTAATCAAATTTATCAAAAATCATGAATTTCACTTGTATGAAAATATTTTTTCCTGAAAAAAATAAACAACGAAAAATTCTATAGTATACAAATTATGACTTAGTTATAACTCATTATGTATTATTTGTGTTTTTAATTGAAAAGTCTTTGCTAATTTCTTATGTTTTTAGCTATGTCTATAGTGGTGCATTAGGTCATTAACTATACTTCAAGTGATGTTTGATTATGATATATTTTTATATGATAATATTTAAATATTTTATCACACGAAAAAATGCTTAAGGTGGATTGACTCGAATGTAGAATTTATGCTTATATTAGTAAGATCGTAAAAACTATTTACATTGATGCATAAAAAATTATAAATTCAAATCATAAATAATGTTCTCAAAGGGAAACAAGCATAAAAACTTTATAACCTTAATAATTTTAGTTCTCAAATAGGTTTTGATAACATAGGTTTTGATTAATTATGTGACACATCATAATTATCAAAAAATTTATTCCAGCCAAATTATTTTTACATATATTTTTTTGGCAAAGTTCACGAGAGTGCATTTTTAGTAATATTATAAATTCAAATTTTTTATTTAAATTTTTTTCAGGAAACATCAATAGGTTATTTAAATATACACAATAATTTTCGATAAATCATTATTCTTTAATAATACTTCGGCTTGGTTTGGGAAGTAGGTTGGCTTTTTGGCTTTTTGGCTTTTTTGGCTATTTTAGAGCTTTTTGGCTTTTTGGCTTTTTTGACTTTTTTTGTGAGAGAAGAATGTAATGATTATAGGTTGGATGTGATGTTTTGTTTGTTATGGCTAAAATAGCCTATTTTGTTTTTTGTGGCTAAAATAACCAAAAAAGCCTGAAAAAGCCCTTGCCAAACACAGGCTAATCATGCGGGCTAGTTATCATCTTCAACGATAATTATAGTAACTATGATGTAGGCATTTCAAATAAGTTCTATTCGAGATTAATTTATAAGACCGTACAAAATACTTTGACTCTCAATTTTATTTGATTTGATTTATCAAAAACTATTTTTAAATGGTTTTTTTTATATATATTTTTTTGTTTTTAATGAACTTTCTTAAAATAATTTTTTTTATATATATAAAAATTAAAATTTGACAAAAATATGAAAAGAATTCATTGAAGGCAAAAGAGAACCTGTCTAAAAACATTTTTAAAAAATCAAACTCTTCGGTTTTAGAGGCACTTTTTTGAGGTTAGAACCTAAAAAGAGAAATTAAGACCATCTTCAATAGTGAATCAAATTTTTCATTAAATTTGAGTAAAAAAAAAACTAATTTTCTCAATCTGATATTTCTTCCTTCAACCGTGCATCAAAAGGGGAGGGTCAACCAGTGGGTCGATCGGTAAGGCAAAAATTATTTAATTTTTTTTTTTTTACCTGTTTGAACATTTTTGACTCAATAAAATAGATAAAAAATAAAAATATATAAATGAAAATGAAAATTAATTTAATCTGTGTGATACACATAATTAAATACATTCTGTCTTATTTATTTATTTGTATATCGAGGTAATTTTTTTTTTCAAATATCATAATAATTAAATTAAAATATAAACTATATAAAAGAAATCTGACAATGATAAATATACGGATATAAAAAAATAAATATTTATCAAGTTGAGTCCATATAAAATTAATTATTATAATTGAAATTGATTTTGTGTAGAACTTTATTATAAATGAAAAAAGACATTCTAATGTGACATTTTAAGAAAAAAGTAAGCTTTTAAAACATGCCACAATGTGCCACCTAAGCAATTTTATATATTTAAAGGAGCTGCTTATTATTTATTGTTTAACATAAGGTTATAATCTTAACAATCTAGTTATAAATTAATATTTATATTTATAAAATTTATTATTTATCAGTTAAATTCTTAAATTGAGTATGTATTCATTTATTGATTAGTTATATTTTAGATACAAATTAATTTACTTATATAAATTTTCATACTTTATATACCTATCACATGTCAATTTAACAGATACATATAATTATAATATTAACATTTGATAAAAAATCATATGTTACATGTCTGATCATTATTTTATTAATAAAATGGCACATCTATTATTACCGGATTAGAAACGTGAAAGAGTATAATATAAGTTTGGGTCAGAGTATATAAGTATATTTTTAGAGCATTGATAGGATCCTTCCAATTACTAACTTTATTATTCTCGCATATATGTGGTGGGTAGTGATTGGAGGAGAAGGAAAAAAAAAAAAGTAAAAAAAAAAGTAACCAATCAAAAAAGAGAGGGGATCAAAGGCGGTGGGAAGAAAGAGGGTCTTAAACATTTTTGATATTTTTATTATTTTAATTTTTTTAGTCATATCATCTTTCTATTTCTCTACATATCTTTTCATAAAAAATTTAAAAATACATTTATTTAGCTCATTCTAAACAATCTTTTATTATATTTGTAATTGGAATTGGCTTCTTTCCAGTTCCAGATTGGACTGGAAGGTATTGTTGGGTCCATGAGGGGCTTATCATGGGTTCCGTTTCGATAATCTGAATCGTGCAATATGTAAAACTTGTCGAGTATTGTATGCCTGTGAAAAATCACGTTAATCGAATATCGATAACTATTTTATCGTATTAGATTTCTGTCAATCGTTTATTTTTTCGTTGTCTATTTTTTTACGCAAAACTGATTTAATCATATACCTATCAATATCTGATTAACGTGATTTTTTTATATATATAATACTCAATAAATTTTACATATTAAATAGTCGACAAATGTTACATATTAAACGGTTGGAATTACCAAAATAAAATTTGACAGGTGACTTGAAAGAAAGCTAGACGTTTGTAATTTAACCCTCAAAACCACTCCAATTTCCAAATCCAAAAAGATTAGAAACGCACGGTGGCCAGTACCATTAACCGTTAAACAGAGCGAATCGACGGCGATACCCAATCAAAGAGAGAAACCGAAAAAAAAACTCCCCGAAAAGAAAATAAAAGTAAACTTTCCGGGAAAATTTTAGGTGTCCTTCAATTCACTTGCCAATTACATTTCAGATTTGTTGATTCAAATCTTGAACTCGTCCTTATCGACCCAATCTATACTATATACACACACATATTATATATATATATATATATGTATTCATTAGAGATGTTCCGGTTCGAGCAAGAGAAGATCAGAAAACGACGACTTTGATTTTATTCTCTCAATAGATTCAGAAGACTCTTTTAAGGGTTTTGCTATGGCCGACGCGCTCTACGTGATTCCTGCTTCCGTTCTTCGTAACCTCTCCGATAAGCTCTACGAGAAGCGCAAGAACGCTGCTCTTGAGGTACCCTCTTTCTCTCACTTCAATCTCTCCCTCTACTGTCTCATTTTCTGGAACGGTCATGGTTGTTAGGGTTTTTGGATCTTGATTTTGGTAATTGTTTGTGCAGGTTGAAGGAATCGTGAAGCAGCTAGCGGCGGCTGGAGATCATGACAAGATTACGGCTGTGATCAATTCGTTGACTACTGAGTTCACGAACTCGTCGCAAGCGAATCACCGGAAAGTGGGTTATACTTGTATTGTCTCACTGTTCTTTGATTTTTGATTGTTGTTTTTGTTCAATTGGTGGACCACTTGAGTAGGTTTTGGATTCTGATTAGTTTTGTTGCAATTTCGTTTAGGGTGGATTGATTGGACTGGCGGCTGCCACGGTTGGTCTGTCTTCTGAAGCAGCTCAGCATCTCGAGGTATGGGACTCAAATGCCAAATTTGATACTATTCTTAGGGTTTGATAAGTAACCAAGTTCATATTTTTAGTAGTTGTTTATGTACATGTTGCTTTTTCAGTAGAACTGCTTACAATGTACAGCCTTCGATTCAGGTCAATGCTAATGTATTGAATAACGTAGGCTAAGTGAAAGAAAAATAAAAATAAAAAATAAAAAAAATCATTTGTTCATTCAATCTGAATTTATCTATGCGGTCTAATCACATTTTATACTGATGAGGCCTATTATAATTGGGAAAGTAATGTGACTAGGATTTTTGTAGAATAATTCCCTTTGAGATTATTTTGCAAATTAGGACTTCCGTTTATTTTCTAAAATAAAAGGATAATACAACACAAAACAAATACACGAGAACACTAAGAACATCCGTAAATAAAAAGCTTTTAGCTATCTTGAGTAGTAAGTCTTTACATTACTAAGGCTAGACAATGAAACCTAAGAGCCGTGTTGTCTTCTCATAGCTCGTATGACCGTCTTAATCTATTCTAGTAGCAAATGCTTGTAATACCAAGGCGCATTAATTGCC